TACGCGTTCGCTGAAGTGGCCAAGTCGTTCTTCTCACAGCTGAACTATTTTCTGCTTTGCGATCATCAAACACTCAATGAAGCCTGCCTATTTGTAAACAACTCCTATCAGTAATCCTCTTTACTCTGACTTCGTTAAAAATACGTTTGAATTATGATCGGTTAGAAGAATAAATCGATCAGCTTAATTAATTACTCAAAACTCTGACGCCGTCTGGATCAAAATCTTATTCTCCAATCAATCATTATTGAAAGTTTGCCCTTCTCTCGGTTTAAACTTGCATATTCTTACTGAAAAACGATCGCTGAAGGGTTTATGGAAAACATATATTTGATGGTAGGCGTGACTACTGTTTATCGCCTAATTAAAAGTCTCTATGATTATAAAAAATGTTGACAGTCCAGAGTACAATGGGTGGAAAAAACCCTGCATACATGTTATTCACTGCACATTGCATGACAGCTGCTGAATATCGTCTAGCTGATTATTTTCATGGTATCAATCAGTGCTTTTATTAGCCACAACTTATTAACTTCACGCCATTGCCATACTGTGATTGGTTTGAGACGCTATGAATTCAGATTCTATGGCTAAAAACGAAAACCAACAGTTATTTTAAAGTTTTGAAGCTGGTATCGATGGAATGTTGGCAGGTTCCTTAACAAGTCTGCTTCGAACACCAGAAGCGCGGGTTCGATTCGATGCAGGGGCAATTTTCTTCCTATTCAGGAATGTCCATGAACAAGGAATTTGCGACATATTGCTTCAGACCGGGTTTGCTTAGTCGGTATGGCGTCGAACTAAGAACAGATTGCTCGTGAATTAAAGGCCCCGTCGGGGGAAGGAATTTTTCAGTCATTCACTTTTCTTCCTCCCGAGGTTGATAAATGAGTGCCACATTCGGTGGGAAGCCAACAAGAGACTATACGCTACTACGCTAACGGCTTGACTATGGGCTCTATCTTAAAAAATAGGAATAGGAACTGACACCGCAACCGCTCGTTCGATTTCATGAAAAGAAGGGAGCCAAAATGGTCCAGTCGTGAAAGTGTAAAAAACTGAAATAATAACGTTTACCAACTTTTCTTTCTTTTGAGTGGCAGTTTTTATATCGTATGGTAGAATTTATCTCACTATGGCAATGTACGGGTGGATTTTCGCTGCAATAACTTCCTTCGAAATCAAATATTCAAGAGGCTGCTGAAAGAGTTTGAAGCTACTGGAATCAACCTCTTTGAGTTAAATACTTGGTATTCTTGATGGACGTTGTGACATAATATTATTCAATATTACAACAAGGGAATTGTGAAACTCTCTGCTATTGCATTTCCTTGTTTTTCTTGGGGATCTGTGATACTAAGTGAGAATCACAAACGGCAAAAGACCATCGGAATATGGGTTGAAAATAAGCATAAAACCGAAGTGTTATGATGATTCGTATTAATTTAATTGTGCCACGTATCGTAGCCTGTTAAAAGTGTTAAACGGTTGATTGGACTAGTCAATAGTATTGCATTCCAAAGTCAGCTGTGATTCAGCACCACGAAAAATAACCTTCCTGTCTCAAAGCATATTTTAGCGATTGACGGATGATAGTTTTGGACGTTATGACTAAAGTACAGATTATCAGAGACTAACTTTGCTATACAAATATTGTTTTCGTTTCAGTTCATTCCTGATGATGTTATCAGCGTGGATAACGCAACGGCTAAACGGTTTCCTCATAACTGTCGGAGTTTTAGTTTATTACTGCAGCCATAAATCAGTAAAGATTTTCCTACAGCTATCAGTTTAACAGCAGGAGCCATGTTGCAAAGAAGACTAGAGCCAAGGGATTGTGTGCCAGAACAAAGAGTGCGGCGAACATCCCCTTTGAGTGCTTACACTTACTGGAGAGATGTTATGAATCTCCAGCGGTATAGAGGTAGATAATAACTATTAATTAACATGCCATTGCCTTTGAACATGGGGCACTTCATTAACGTGTTGTTGATGACAGGGAAGACATCATAAAAACACGATTTACTCACACGGTGCGTTTAACCAGTACCAGCCTCTCGCTGCCGTGTCTCACGGGCCTTCTTCGAGTTGGAACGAAATTCTTTCTGTGTGATCCACAGCTGATGCAATGTTTATAGCCAGGAAGCAAACCTTTGGTCCGTGCTGATTAAATAGTTTTTGGATGAGACGCGCGATAACACTCATCCAATCCGCGCAGAGCTCATATATTTTCTCACGGTTAATTTTGTTGCAGGACTGGATAATTGATGCCTCTTCGATGTTCTGTCAGAGTCGTGATGTCTGCCATTTTTTTCTTTGATGATACCGATGCATCCTGGCCATCGGGGAATGTGACCTTCCTATTCCGCGTGCTGCACAATTCCGGAGATCATTTGCATTGTTACTTGGCCTGGTTAAAGGCGAAGCCTTCTCCCCGGGTGCTTTGTTACCATATGTAGCTCACGTTCGTCCATGATAATACCTCTTTTCCAGTCTGACAGGTGAGTGTTTGTTTTTTGATTGACGGTGCTCTCTGTTTCTCATATTTAATATTTTGCGCCCTCAAGTTGATCAGACAGTCTTCTACACAGAAGCTATGCAAAGCAAGCAAATTCAGCTGGGGCAGTCATTCTAAAATTAAGTGACCAAACGGGATGCTCATTTATAAGTCGAATTGACCGTAAAGCAATTAAACGCCTGACAATCTACATTGACTAGAACGTATTCAGTTAGCCTTGTGTTCCATGGCACATAGAGCACTGACGTTAGGCTTCTGCTGCTCCCAACCTCCTAAAGCATGAGTTACAAAAGGAATATTCCAGTTCCATCCGAAATAACGATTTATTTTTGTTAACATAGGATTTGTCTGCGTCTGCTGTTCATCATACATATCTGCCTGTACATGATGGTTCAAAAATTTGAAGTAGTTCACGCCAGTTGTGAATCTTCGTTTATTTAACCTTCTAAGCTGGTCAAACTGAGTAAGTAAATTGCCAGATGTTAAACTAAATGACTACGTTTCCAAAAGTTAAGAAATCTGCCCAAAACGAGTTATAATCAATTTGTCGAGTAGTTTTCAGGTTGTTGACGCGTGATAACCTAACAGTTGTCTGACGCCCCATTCCTAGTTTGGTTTTTTCATGCAGTCAGCAATACGAATGAAATAGCGAATATTGAACCCTGTGGTCGAATACCGCTGATTCTCTGTCTTTT